TGGGGCGCCCACGCCCGCTCGCCCCGCCTCTGCCCTGGCGGCCCTCCCTGCGCACCCCTCCTTTTCCAGGAATCGGGGGGTGGGGAAATGTCTGGGAGGGACGCCAGCGCTAGCCCTGCGGGATACCAGCTGGTTTGGGGGGGCCCCTCCGCAGCTCGCAGCTCGCCAAGGTGCGCTCCGCCCGCCCCGCTTAACGCGTCTCCTTCCCCACGTATGCTGCAATCCACCTTCCAGGACCGCGTCGTCCACCTGCAACACAAGGTGAGCCACGGGCAGTTTTCCATGTCCTAGTTGACCCATTTTTTTTTAAAGTAAAAGAAACGAGTAAAAATAATTTTTATAATATATTTTACTTACTCCCGTGTAGCCAAGATATTAGCATTTCAACATGTAATCAATATAAAAATATTTTTGCATCCCCTTTTTGTATTGCCTTCCAAATCTGGTATGCACTTTGTCAAAAATCGACTTGATTGAGGTGACAGTGTTTAATAAAAGTATACAGGTTTCAGGGCTGCGGTTACATAATGCAGCATCTGTGTATTGTATTGTGTGTTCAAAAATCGGTGTGCATTTTTTTACCCTGGCAGCACATGCTGTCTCAGTTCAGGCCGGGCACGTTCCCAGTGCTCCACCCCCGAGTGTGGCCAGCGGCCGCCCTACAGGGAGCACCAGGTCTAGAGGAATGCTCTTTCATGTAAGTTATTCAAGCATTTCTCTCCACACCACGCCTGCTGCCAGACACCCTTCCCCAAAAGCATCTCTAATTGTCGCTATTTTATTTTCTCACTCCCGATCCCCTTCACACATCAGACACTTAAGTTTTGCCCCAGTAGGTCCCCAAATTTTCCATCCAGTGCAATTCAGCTTTGCCCGTCTCCCCCAGTGGAATTGTCTATTAAGCCCAGTTGCTTGCTTTTACTGCTAACCCCTGTGTCGCCTACTCCTGGAAGCCTTCTTAGATCTGCCCCTTTCCATCCTCTGGCCTCCGGCTCCTGGGGCTCCCCGAGCACTGTCTGCATCACAGCACATCTGTTATGTGTCCTTGCTCTCTGTCTCGGTTTCCTCCTCCTGCGCCTTCCCCACACCGGAACCCACGGGGCTTGGTACCTTGTTGCTTCATCTCTGACCCCCCAACTCCCCAGATGCCGATTAAATTATAGACACCTGGCTTCCAGTCTCGGCTAATTTACTTCATGTCCTCAAAGCACTGCCTTCCCCTCCCTGCCCTCACTCGACTTTCAGGCATGTGAACTAGAGACAGTCTCTGGTGCCAAGCAGGCATACCAGGGCTGGGAGAGGGGGAGGGGGTGCTGCTGCCAGGGCTGCAGCTGGCGGATGGCAGGGTCCTGGCCCGGGCTGTGATCATGGGAGCTGGTGTGGGGTCCTAGAGGATGGAGGCCCCGGCAATGTGGATCCCCTGTAAGGACCGTCCAGTGGGGCTCCTGCTACTCCTATCCCACACCCCTGACTGGCATCTTCCTTCCTATTGAGGTTGCCTGTTGGGCCTTGAGTTTTGCCAGGATAATAGACTATTAGAGTGGGCAGGGTCCAGAGCTGGGGACAGGTCTGTCCTCACTAGCTCTGTTACTCCGGGTCAGGGCCTGCCTTTCTCTGGGTCTAGCTGCCCCAAAATGATGACACCTGCCTCGAGCCTGATAGAGCTCTGACAAGTTAGGAGAAGACAGGATATCCCATCCTGTTCCACAAGGAGCCAGGAGCACAAGCAGGAGTTAGTAGGGAGCACAGGAAAGAGAGAAGGGGGCTGGGAGGCTGTGGGCCACCCATGGGGGGCTCCCCAACCACCTGCCCACAGAGCCAGGCCCTGTGCCAAGAGCAGGTGTGGGGTGGAGCAAAGTGTGGGGGCCTTCAGATACCTCCTTGACCCTGCCCAGGCCTAGGTGCTGCATCCCATCTCCCCCACACTCAAAGAAACATGGACCAGGAGCCTGGCCTGTGGACAGGCTGGGGAAGGGCCGAGGGGCCAAGTCCACTGAATCAGGACCAAGAGTCTCAACTGAAAGCAGATGTCATGGATCCTGTGACCTGTATGAGGGTAGGCCTAGGACCAGGGTAAGCCTAGGTGGGTCAGGCATGAGGTGAATATAGTGTCCCATCCCACAGCCAAGGATGGCCACCGTAACAACAGGCTTCCCAGGAAGCAGTGCCCACCCAGAATCAGAGAGTGCACGTAGAGGCCAGTGCCCATCCCTGGCACCTACCGGCAGGGAAGGGGCCCTGGCACCTGTGGTTCTGTAGCCCCTGCTTAGGGACTGTTGGAGACACAATCTCCAAGGGCCACCTTTCCTTCCCTGGCAGAGGCCTCAGGCAGTAGGAAGACTGAGACCCCCAGGGATGCATACAGTCACTTCCTGTCCTGACCCAACAGTTCTGTCCCCCAATTCCTCATTTCTGCACCAATGTTTCTCTCCCCCAGAGAAAAGCCCACTGTGTGTATTCTGTGAGGATAGCTTATAACAAAGCAAGTCAGGGGTGATTGCCAGTGATGGGATTCCAGGCACCCGGGGAAGAAGAGGCGTTTTCCTAGGCAGTCACTGCAGTACCTACCATGGACACTCTCCCCACACTGCCCAGGGTGGAGGGTGGGCAGCCTGGCTCCCAGGCCCAGCCACGCCTGCCCTTCACCTTGGTCCCATCCCCAGGTGCTACACCCCAGCGCCTCCTGACTGCCAGACCCTGGAGCCACCACCAAGGCTGCAACATTAAACAAAACAATAACGGTGTTTCCCCATGAACTAGAGATGGGGAGCAGCCTGCTGGGCGGTGGGCCTCGGGCTTCTGGGAGGCAGATGGGAGTGAAGGCTGAGGGCGTTGTCATCACTCTGGCTGTTGGGTGCAGATTGGTAGGAGAAGGTGGCGATAGGAAGCAGAGGCCAGCTGGGCAGCCACTGCAGCCATTCAGGGAGTGGGATGTCCTGGAAGGAGCGAGTGGGTGTTGCTGGGGTTGAGAACTGAGCACTGAGAAGCGGGCACTGGGTGTAGCAACATGGTCACTGAAGCCCTGGGAGAGAAGGCTTTGGGTCCCATCCTCTCTCACCAGGCTGGGGCATGGCCGCTCAGGCTTCATGTTCCCCCGCGGCCCGCTTGTTGGGGGAGTCCTCAGCCTGCCTCTCCCCAAGGTCTTTCATGCTGGTCATCTCTTCTTGGACAGTGAGGCTGCTGCTCTCACAACAGCTGGACAGCGGGGCCTGGGCGGGACAAGGCGCCTGTTGCCGTGCAAACACAGTGGCCAGGAGCGCCTTCAGGTACTGGCCGAAGCAGGGGTTGGAGCAGGCGTAGAGGATGGGGGTGAAGCAGCAGTGCAGGAAGGCGATGCTCTCTGTCACCTGCAGCGCGTAGTCCAGGCGCCGGCTGGTCTTGCAGTCCCCGAAGACCTTCAGGTCCAGTAGCGAGTGCAGAAGCAAGGTGAGGTTGTACGGGAACCAGAGCACGAAGAAGGCCACCACGAGGGCCACGGCTATCTTCAGAGCCCGGCTCTGGCCTGGGGGCCGCAGCCTGAGCAGGACACAGCCAATGCGGGAGTAGAAGAAGAGCATGGCGAGGAGGGGAATGACGAAGCCCAGGATGTTCTGCTGGAAGCGGAGTATGAGCTTCCAGACGGTCCCGTGCCCCCCGAAATCCGCATAGCAGTTCCACACACCCGGCAGGCTTTCGTGCGTCTGCACGAAAACCATGTCAGGGATGGAGACAGCCAGGGCCACAGCCCACACTGTGATGGCAAAGAGCCAGCGCTTGGCCGGGGTCCTCAGCCTGTGGTGGCGCTGAGCGTGCACGATCTGCAGGTACCTGTCCAGGCTCATGCAGCTGATGAAGAAGATGCCACTGTAGAGGTTAACCGTGTACAGAGTGCTCACTGCCTTGCACAAGAAACTCCCAAAGACCCAGTGCCAGGCCAGGTAGATGACCCAGAAGGGCAGGGTCACCACGAACAGCAGGTTGGAGATGGCCAGATTCAGCAGGTAGATCTCGGTCATCCGCCGGCGGGGCGCATACCGGAGCAGGCCGACCAGGAGGGCGAGGTTCCCGCCCAGGCCCAGCACGAACACCAGGCTGTAGAAGGCCGGCAGGAAGCCTTTGGCAAAGGACACCACCTCGTCCTTCCTGCAGAGCATGAAGGCCTCCTGGTCGAAGTAGTCCTCATAGTCGTAGAAGGAGCTGCTGTTCTCGGGACCGGCCACCTTGGTGGAGAGCTGCTGGGGGGAGGCGGTGGTGGCCATGTCGGGGGGCTGTGGCCCGTCTCAGAGCTCTGCAGGCCAGAGGGTAGTGGGAGAGAAATGAGGTGAAGCCAGGCAACCCCCACCTCTCCACACCCAGTTTCTGCTGCTCTGGGGTGTCCAACAGGCCTTTCACAACCACGTCAGTACCCACAGCGCAGCAAGGATGAGCACCGTGCGGGAGCCCGAGTCCACCACGGAATAGTGATGTCGCCTTGGGTAGGTGACGGCCTCCTAGGTAGGTGCTCTCCTAGGATTCACTTCTTTCATCACGGTCTCTCTCATCATTTAAAAAGACTAGTCCTGTCTTTCTGACTTTTCTTTATTATGTAGGGCTACCAATTGCTCAATAATTATTATTGTTTGTATGGCTTATAATTTGTTTTTAAATGGGAGCCTCTCTTCAGTGGGCTTGTTTTATCTATAAACGTCTAGTGCGCCCACTATGGCTTTGAGCTTTCTTTACTTCCATCCCCTGGGAATGCCCCTTGCTTTTATTCTAAGTATTGTATCTGTAAATATTGTTTTATATCAGTTTTCTTTTATATTTAATTTATTTTATCCAGTATTTTCAGGTGTGCAGCAGAAAGGAGTGAGCCATCACATTGATAGAAACTACTAAACTTTTCCGTCCCTCGGTCTCCCCATCTTTAAAATGATAATAATAACAGTGCCCACTCATGGGGTTCTTGCGAGACTTAAACATGATAATGCATGTGAAGCACTTGAAGCCCTACGAAGAGTGCCCAGAACATAGTAGGCACTCCATAATATTAGTTTAAATTATTGCTTCGCCCAGAACTGAGTCCATAGCCTTCCCACCAGCCTTCTCCTCTCCTGTGTCTACCTAACTGAATGGCACCACCAGCCGCTCAGTCACCTAAGGCTGAAACGTGGGCAACATCCCAGATTCCTTTCTCACCCTCCTCCCCATCACCCTACTGCCTTCTGAATGTGTCTGCTCCCTCCAATTTCCACAGAAATATATACATGATGTTCTTTTGATAATATTAAGACAAATGCACTACCTATAGTAACTCAAGGAGATGAGAGGGAAAGCCAGGGACTGACAGGCACAGGGTTTAAGACGGCAACTGCCTGAGCAGAAGCCAGAGGCAATGGTATGGGGGCAGGTCACTGTCCAAGGTCAAGTTCCCTCTGGGGTAGTGGTTCCTCAAGTTTGAATTATTAAAAATGATTTTTAAAAGAGATTCTCACACAAAGCAGTGATGAGAGACTGGCACAGGGCAAGGATTATGTCCCATCCGGTTCTGTGTTCCAGAAGAGAGAGACAGCATGCCCAATGTGCTAGATTGTTCACCACGGGGGAGGATTCTGGAAGGAGATGAAAGGAGTAAGTGGCCCACGCAGGCAATTCTGCCTGGCCACCGGAGTGGGGCCTGTAGGCTGATCAATCAGATCCTGGACCACAAACAGAGAAACGCAAATCAACTCCACCCGTTCCTCTGCATTTTATTTTTTATTCTTTTATTCAAATGAGATTGAACTTTTTTTGTTAATCCTTACCTGAGGATATTTTCCATTGAATTTTTTAGAGATAGTAGAAGGGAAGGGGGGGGGGGAGAGAGAGAGAAATATCAGTGTGAGAGAGAGACATCGATTGGTTGCCTCCCACAGGCGCCCTGACCAGGGCCGGGGGTCAAACCCAAGACCCTCAGTGCACGGGGCCCAGGCTCTAAGCACTGAGCCACACTGGCCAGGGCAACACTGAATTTTTTAATATGTTCAGTGCCAGTCTGTGAATGATTTATTGTTTTAATGGGTGGGATTCTCATTTTATAAAAGGTTTTATGTAGTAAGAATTTTAGCTTTTTACATAGATGTTGTAAATATTTTCTCCAGTCCTTCCTAATGGAAGTTTTGTCTATTTTTCCAGGTAGAATTTTGAAATAAGGTTGACTCACATCCGCAGCTGACCTTTCTGGTTTCCTTGACACTGTGATCTCATCAATAATGGAAATATCCAGTGATGCTGATGCGGAACCTCTCCCAGCAGAAGCCTGGAGTCCCACCCTTGGGCTCCTGTCACACATAATCTGGGCCAAATGTCGAGAAAATCATACCCACACCCTGTCGCCACTCCAGGAGCTCAGAGTGGGCAGCTTAATCCAGGGCCAGGCTCTGCTCCTGACGGGCCTCAGAAACCTGGCCTATGCCTTCCTTTCCTGGTCCTCCATTCCTCCTGAGCCTCTGGGGCCTCCTGGGCAGCAGTAAGGACACCTTCAGCACATGGCTGGCCCTGGGAGTCTGTGAGCTGCTGGGGTTGGAAGGAAGTGCTCTTCTGCACTCGGGACTGATTAGGATCCATTAGTCAAGAGTTGTCACTAATGAAACATCAGCAATTCTGATCTGTCAGCACTGGACTTGATTCCAACATGGTTTCTCAAAGTCCTTGACTTTTGCTTTAACAAACAACCAAGTCTGATCAGGCCCTAGGTTGGACCACGCCACCTGGAACACTCTGTCCCCTTTCCTCTTGGGGCCTCTGGTCTTTTATTCTGGGAATCTTTCCAGGTCCTCCTGATCTCTGAGGCCACCAGCCAGCCCCTCCCAACACTTTCATCAACAACAGCATGCCCCCCTGCCCGGATGCACATGGTAATAGGCCAGGCACCTTCATACCTGCGGTGGCAGTCCTGTGAGGCAAACCAGGAAGCACCATTCAACCCCGGAGCAAAGCAGCTTGTCCACAGTCACGTAGGAAGGCACTGGCTGAGCTGCATCCGAAGCCTGTGTCTTCAGACTCTAGGAATGGTGCCTTGTCCCTGGTCCCATTTCATCTGTGGCCTCTGTTCTGACCTGTCCTGTTCTGACCGAAAGGAACCACCTGAGAGGTGTGATCTGGGCTCAGGAGGGCTCAGTTGCCCAGGACAGTGCCCTCATGGGCTGCTCCAGCCCCCAACGCTTCATTGAGCCTCCTTGCAAAACGCACCCTCGCTACGGTCAGCAGGGAATGGCCTCCCAAAGATAACCACATCCGAATCCCTGCCACCTGTGAATATGCTACCTTCTCTGTCAAAAGGGATTTCCCGGATGTGGTTAAGTTAAAGCCCTTGAGATGGGAGAGTACCCCAGGTTATCCAGTGTTCACAAGGGTCCTCATCGGGAGGCAGGAGCCACCGAGTCAGAGAAGCAAGTGGAAACAGAAGCGGAAAGGATGCAGTTACCACGTAGCAGGTGTTCTCTAGAAGCTGGAAGAGGCAAGGGGCAGAATTCCCCAGGAACCTCCAGCGGAACGCGGCCCTGCCCACACATTTTAGCCTTCTGACCTCTATCTAAAGCACGAAGATAATAAATTTGTGTTGTTTTCAGCCACTGATTTTGTGGTTTTGATACAGTGGCAGTAGATGAGATACTTCCTATGACCTTTTGTGCCCAGAATCTCAGATTGAGGGAGTAAGAGTGCATCCTGCCCGCTTCCTTCAGCTCATAGGTGGGGAAACTGAGGGTCAAAGAAGGGGTGCAACTTGTGCAAAGCATACAGTGAGCAGTCAGTGGCTGGACTGAGCCATGAGCCCCACGTCCCTGGCTGCCCTTCAGGCCTCTGTTACCCCACACCTACCCATCCCTCTAGACCCTTTGTGGTTTTCCCCTTTCTATTTTCACTTTTGCTGATTGCCTGAATTCATTTAGTGTATCCAGCAACACCTTAAGAGGAATGAATGGGGGTGTCAGTTATTCACATCCTAGTATGAATTAGCAGATAGCAAGGCAACAGCGGATGAAGCTCTGTAGTGGAACTTTTGCGGAATCCAGAGAACTTTATACAGGCTAGAGAGGGAGGTTTTTAAAAAGAAGGATAGCAAGAACAAGGTCAGCCGAGCTTCCTCTACAATGAGACCAAAGACACAGAAGCAAACCACAGCCTATCTTTAGGCCAACACTTCCTGAGGCTGCTGGCCTGGGCTGGCTCCAGCTTTGACTTAGCAGGAATCTCTGGCTAGAGAGTATGTCTCCTGAGGGCCTCAAGGCCTCTCAGAGAAGTCTCAGGTGGGGCAATGAGAGAGAGCATGCTGCTCCACCTATCTAGGCAGGAAGGCAGCCGTGTTAGTTGAGCTCCTCCTATGAGCTGCACACTCACACGCAGTTCCTCTGGTAATCCTCACCATAGTTCTGGGAAGCAGTTCTATGATGATCCCTGTTTTCCAGATGAGGAAAACTTGAAAGTTAGAGAGGTGACGCCCAATTGTCCACAGCTGTGCATCAGCCAATGACAGAACCCAGGACTGGTTAGCCCTAACAACTCAAGGTAGATCTGGTGACCCTTTCCACTCAGCTCCCCTTTCAACTTGGACCAAACTTGGATTTGAAGGATGAGCTCTGGGAGCGGGGCTTCTGGCCTCAGCAATGAGTGGCAGAGAAGATTCAAAGTCAGTTGTGACCTGAAGCCAGCTCTGCAGCATCTGGAAGCATTCTGCTCACGGTCCCAGAATTAATCAGTTCTGGATCCAGTTAAGTTGGTAGCTGGAAACTGGTCATGGTTTACGCCATGGCAAGTGCTATAAATTGGGGCTTCCCCTCTCTCCTGTGTGTGTCCCCTAGCCCACCACCACCACAGTGGAGAGCTGGTCATTAAACCTTCACCAGCATAACCCTTCTCAGGACCCCGTGGAGCTTGACCAAGCCCTGCCTGTCTCGCTGTCTCCCACCACCTTTCCTGTTCCACCTCCCACATCAGTCCCAGAGCTGCCCTCCTCCTGTGCCAAGAGCTCCTGAGGACGGGTCAGGTATTGATCCCCTCTCAGGTGTCCACAGACACCCATGCTTAGTGTTTTGGCCACAGTGCAGCTGAGACAAGTAAACAAATAAACTACATTGAATGTGACCCCAAGAGGCCATGACAGCTTTCAAAATATAAAACCAAGAATAACACTTGAGATCACTTCTAGTGGGCCAAGTCGTTTCTGCTGGCTTCCTTACAATTGAAAACTCATATCCTTTAAAATGTAACCAAAATTATCCCTCCCCAGAAGCCTGCAGGGGCCACTGACCTGGTGCAACCCCTGCCCCAGCCCCGAGCACTCACAGAAGGTCACTTGTCAGACTCAGTATCCACTTACTGGGAGCAGAGTCACCTTTAAAGGATCGGCTCACCTCCTGGAATAGGCTGGCATTTTCCCAGGGGTTGAGATGCACCGGCACAGGACTGGCATCTGAGAAGCACCATTCAAATGATCATGGAGTTAATCAGCACGGTCACCTCTCTCCTGCCCCTCTCACCTCATTTCCCCTTACCTGGCTCTCTGTCTCCACCTGAACAGAGCTGGTCCCTGGACATAGCTGAGCCAAGACCTTCCTGAAGGCTGTTTGCCTACCCTGGGCCAGCTGTGCGCCAGCAGGCTTGGGAGCTTGTGACCATGCAGCATGACCCACCCAGAGCCCCCACTCTTTCCTCTTGAGTCATGTTTAAATGCCATTTCCAGCTGGGGCAGCCCCCCTGGATCAGTGTCATGGGATGTGCCCTGTGGCCACCCCAACTCCTTCCCTCAGGCTCCCCTTGCTGCTTCGGGGGGACTGGGGTGGAATGGAGTCCCAAGACTTGGACACAGCTCAGCTTTGGATGGGCCCCCTCTGCCCATGACCGTGGTGTTCCCACCCTGCATGCCCAGCCCAGATGTGGCTAGCAAGGCTGAGACTGGAGTTGTGAAGTAACTCACACCCTGACCACAGGATCTGGCCGTGGAAAGCGCTCCAGTGTTGGGGCACGTGGCAGAAAACCTACCTTTGGGGGAACTGGCAACAGTGCTGGGATTTCTACTTTCCTCCTTCTGGGATTGGGAAACACCAGCTATTAAACTCTACTATGTATACAGCAACAACACTAAATTACTCACCACTTACATAGCACTCACTATGGACCAGGCTCTGTTCTTAGAGCTTTAATTGCACAAAATCATTTCATCCTGGCAATAACACTTCGAGGCAGGCACTATTATTATCTCTATTTTACATGAGAGGAAACAGTTACAGAGAGGCTAAGGAACTTCCCCAAGGCCCCACAGCTAGTAAGCAGCAGAGCTGGGATTTGAAACTAGGTCCTGTGTCTGGTCCAGCTCATTAAAAAATAGGTGTGAAGCCCTGGCCAGTTTGGTTCAGTGGTTAGAGCATTAGCCCGAGGACTGAAGGGTCCGGGGTTCGATTCGGGCTAGGGCACGTACTTCGGTTGCAGGATCGATCCCCGGCCGGTTGGGGTGCTTGGGAGGGGGAACCAATCGATGTGTCTCTCTCAGATCGATGTTTCTCTCCCCCCGCCCCTTCCACTTTCTCTGAAAAGCAGTGGAGAAAATATCCTCGGGATTAAAAAAAAGAAGAAAAAATAGGGGTGAAGGATGGGGACTGGCAATGGAGAAGTGACTGGAGGCCAGGTGGCTGTCACTGGGGATGTGGGAACCGCAGGCCGGCCAGGAGGCTGGCGGTGCGGGGAGGGAGAACAGGAACTGACCCGGGACCACAGAGGAAGCTGGGGAAAGGGGCCCAGGTGCCGAGCCCCCGCAGGGAGAGGGCTCCTGAGTGGCGGGCTCAGGGTCGAGCCAGGGGTCTGCTTCCCCGCCCAGCCTGCCAGGCCCCAGGCAAAGTCCGGCCTCCGGCCTGGAGCCCTTGACTCCCACGAGCGTTTTCTCACCCACAAAATACACGCAGCGCGGGCCTTTGCAAGGATTAAGTCTGATACAGTCATGACGCTAACACCGGGGACCCTGGCAGCGTGCGGGTCCCTGGGTATGAACCCGTGGGTCTTCTCATTTACCTAGCGGGCGTTAAATACTATTATCAGCCCTGCTTTACAGCTGAGGACACAGGCATAGAGAGTTAGGGGGCTGGGCCGATGCCACAGGGCGAGTGAGTAGCAGAGCCAGGAACTGAGGCAGAATCCAAGCCCTTAATCACTAAGTTCCATTTCCTCTCAAAGAAAATAAGCCAGTCCAGCGGGCGCGGCTCAGCCGGGGAGCATCGCCCTGGGATCCAGGCGATCCCGGTTCGATTCCCGGTCAGGGACATGCCCTGGTTGCGGGCTCCATCCCCAATGGGGGGCGTGCAGGAGGCAGCCGATCAATGACTCTCATCATTGATGTTTCTCTCTCTCTCTGTCTCCCTTCCTTTCCCTGAAATCAATAAAGATATATTTTTAAAAGGAGGGAGAGAAAGACATAAAATAACAAGCCCGCTGTGGTCCCCTCCACCAGGCTCTATATATATTAATGCACTTACTGCTCCCAACAACCTTATGGGTAAAGCACTATTATTATTCCTATTTTATAAGTGGGGAAATGAAGCTCAGAGAGGAGGAGTAATGTGCCCAAGACACACAGCAAGTGGACTTCATGGCTGGACATCCAGTCCCTGCTGTCGGCTCCAGAACCCGAGACCGGACCCACACCCTGGGAGCTGAGCCCTCTCCTCAGACCCACAGAACAGCTGCCCTCAGCATGGGAATCGCTGCATTTGGATTCAATACCATGCAAAAAACGCAATGAAAACTATAGCACCCAGTCCTGACATTGACACAGGGCTTGGCTCTTCCTGGGGCTCTGTTATATCCAAGTCCTCGGAAGTCCTCTTGGCTCCTTTATGGGGAGGCGGCACTTGTCACCTCCCTGGTTTCACAGGAAGCCCGGGGCCACACTGCTGGCTGGCTGAGCTGACCCTAACCCTGACCACTGACTGAGTCCTGGACCACTGAACACACACTCTCATTCCCTCTTTACGTCTTACCATGTATTTTTCCTGATTATAATGGTAATACATGCTCAATGTAAAATACACAAATGCAAGGAAAAAATAGAAGAGAGGCTAACCCCCCACCCCCATAATCCTGCACTCCCCTCNGAGTCGGCTGGGAGAGTGGCCTTGTCCAGTCTCCAGAGGGCAGTCACCTCCCTAATGCCTCCTGATTGATGTGGCGCCTCCTGCTCCCTGGGAGATATGAGCCCCACCTATTCCCCACGCTCCCTGGGCCCCCACATTATTCAGTGTTTTCCTGGCTTTAATCAGGAAATGTCTGTGACATTGATAAACCATAAGCAACCCTTCCTCCCAAAGCTTATTCCAGTTAATAAAAACTAAGCAATTTTAGAGCCTGACTCTTCAGGAGCTGCTGCAGCAAAAGAAACTGAGATCCTCATATCTTTCCCAAATTGTTCTTTCTCCTCTCTCTCTCTCTCTCTCTCTCTCTCTCGGCCTCATCATTGTTGCCTGAAATTCTACCACAAGAGCTCCTTGCTTGTGTAGTTCAGCATCATGCTGGTTCAAAATGAAACCNTTGTTGCCTGAAATTCTACCACGAGAGCTCCTTGCTTGTGTAGTTCAGCATCATGCTGGTTCAAAATGAAACCCAGCTGACACCCCCAGGGAGCTGGGACGGCATGGAGGGACAGACAGCTGATTGGTCCACTTCTGAATGGCTGAGTAACCCTGGGAAAATTCGTTTTCTCACCTATAAAATGCCTCCGTGGTGGAGTTTTTATAATAATTAAATGAGTGCATAGCCCATAACTATTGGTTCCCTTCCAGGCTCTAAAATGACACTTGGCTCAGTCAGGGATGGATCAGGGGGAATCCTGGGACTGTCTGGGGCAGAAGGAGGGGCTGAGAACTTGGAGAGGATGGTCATGAGAGGATGGGAAGCACAAGGAGTGTGGATGTGTGCAGAAGACCAGAGCTGGAGAACCTCAGCCCTGGGAGGGAGGGGGCCGAAAAGACCATCTTATCTGTCCCCATCATAGCACCACTGGGGAAACTGAGGCCCGGAAAGGAAAGGAAATGCCTGAGGTCGCCCAGCCACATCTGATACCAACTCTCAGGGATTTTCAGGATCCACAAAGCAGATTCTCAGAGCCGGAGTCAAGGGGGGAAGGGGCCAGCAGACCACCTCACTCCCCAGCCACTGGGGCAATTGCTCCAACAGTTGCCCTAGAGAGAAAGCTCCACGGTGACCCATTAGCATCTCCCTCTCCCCACACATCCCTCCACGTTCCAGGCCACTGGATCTAGTCTCTCTTTGTAGTCCCTAGGCAGGGCCCACCCCACTTGAAAAGTGGCCATAACATACCAGAGGCAGACCCACTTGCCCGGGGATGAACAGCCAGCGCCCAGGAGGAGAGCAGCAGCGCCTGGCCCGTCTTCCTCAGGGAAGTAAGTGCAGAGGGAGCTGCTTCTTCCTAAGCTCTTCCCCTCTCTGGGCAACATCCTCTTTACGTCCTGCTTTGAAGCTGATGTGCCTGCCCCATCCTTCCTCTGCACAGCCACACTGTTTCAATTAAAAAAATCAAGCTCAAATGACCAATCCCCGCCTTCCCCCAGGAAGGACCATCTATTCCTCCACAAAAGCGTAATTATTTTGGAAAAATTTGTCTACAGCCACACCTATTTGGAAGATCCCCAGCAGTTTCCAAACTGGGGACAAGGGGTGGAGGAGCCACAGTCTGTGAAAGATGGGATCTGTGGGTTATACAGACCCAGTGGTCTATCTGCTCATCTCAAGGCTCTTCCAAGGGTCTACTTGGCAGTGGGTTTGGGGGACAAAGAGGCTGCGAGTAAGTGATGCTTTCTCCCTGTATGATTTTCAGAAGGGCTTTGGTCTCTTAGCTGCAGCTGTGCAGCTGGCTAAGCGACGATGTCTGATCCTAGAGTGACTTGTGCTGTGTGGGGCTAAAGGGCATGGCCTCACGTGTTTGGCCTTACCCTCTTTCTGTGTGTGTGTGTGTCTATGTCTGTGGGTGTGCATACATGTATACACACCCACACACACAGCTTATATTCCCCAGGAGTGCCTCCTGCCATCACAGGGGGCTTTTTTTGTGGTGCACTGTCCCAAGAGAGTGGATGTGGGGGGTCATGTCAGGCCTTCCTCCCGCGCTCTCCTCCCTCCCGGGCCTAGGTGCCTTACGAGGTGCAGCTCTCCACTCAGCCGCACTGCAGGCATCGCTGTGCTTGAGAAACCGTGGGACACTGGCTGGATATGGCATAGAACTGTCACGGCTGGCATCTCCCCCCTCTCTGGGACTGCTGCGCTTCATCCCCTGGGCTCACCTTTCTGCATAATCACTCTCCGCCCAGATCCTACCTGTCCTCCAAAGTCCTGGGTACACCTAGCAGCTCAATAAGTGATTCCTGAATAAAAACCATGCCTTGGTGTCCTGGATCCTATGGAAGGTGATTCCCATAGGACAGCACCTTCCCCTGGCCGCATCGTGTGCATAAGCAACGAGCAGTGCCGCGTCTGCTTGGCCCACAGTGTCAGCAATCTTCTCAGCCCCTAGGCTTTCTAAACCGTCTCCCTCTCCCCCCTCTCTGCTCCCCTGCCACCTCCAACGCAGCATGCATGTCTGCACAGCTAGCCGCCTGTTTACTTGTCTGCTCGCCTGCTGGGCCAGGAGCTCCAGGGCAAGGACTATATCTGACCTACCAACTTGAGTCCAGGGCTGGCCAAGAGCAGAGCCTGAGTGAAAGAACATGTGTGTGTGACACACTGCCTGCTATATGTCCGACGCTTTGATACCTCGCCACCAGAACAGCACCTGTGGTCCAGGGTCAATGTCTCAGCCACCGTCGCCTCTAGCCTCACCGCCAGCCTGACACACAGCGGGTGCTTGGCGAATGCCCGTTGCCTCTGCCAGAACTGAGCAGTAGTTGAATAATGCCAAGTGGTTACAGGCACTGGCATTGGGGTCGCACAGAGCAGGGCTCTAATCTGGCTCTGTGTGTACTTTCTGTGTGACCTAGATATGGTGGCTTCACCTCTCTGAACCTCAGTTCTCAGGTCGTATTGGTGGTGGAGATGGTGCCTTCCTCAGACAGGCATGACAAAAGTTAATGTTCCCAGAGAGCTGCACTAGGACATTTGCTTTTCCCTGGCACCCACAGGGCACCTAGAGTGGAGGCCGAGCCTGTGATGGGTTCTCACTCCAGGTGCAGGGGTCTCCAAGTCTCTAGTCCAAACACTAGTAACCAATAGCCACAGAGTCCTGGTTCCGTCTGGGGAACAGATAAGTTCTAGAACCTGGGCTCTTTCCTCACACCCTTCCCCCCTTTTTAAACAATTTTATTTCAAAATAATTTTTAGACTTGGAAAAGTAGCGCACAGAATTTGTGCACACCTGTCAGCCAGCTTCCCCTCATGTCAACATCTTAGCCCACAGTACAATACTCTAAGCCAGGACATTAACACTGACACAATACTACTGACTGATCTACAGGCCTTATTTAAATGTCACCAACTATCCTACTATGTCCTTTCTCTGGTCCAGGATCTAAAGCAGAATCTCACCTTGCATGTGGACACTGCCTCTCCTTGATCTCTCCATTCCACGACAGCTCCTCAGTCTTGCTCTGTCTTTTATAACTATGACAGTTTTGACGAGAACTGTCAAGTGTCCCTAAATTTTGGTCTGATGCCTCTGCATAATTAGATCGGGGTCATGCATGCAGGCAGACACATCGCAGAAGTGAAGTTGTATCCTCAGGGCATCGTATATTAGTGTATGATTTCAATGTGGCTCAGGAGTGACGATGTTAACTTTGACCGCTTGGTAAAGCAGTGTCTGTCAGGACTTTCCACTGTGAAATTACTATTTATTCATTAGTAATTACTAAGCATCGTGTGGGGAGGTAATTTGTAACTATGTAAATATTCTGTTTCTGATCATACTTTCGCCCACTAATTTTAGCATCTGTTGATGATATGTTCCGACCCCGCTATTTGCCAAAGGGTGATTCTCTATATCCATCACTCTTCCTACATTTATTAACTGGAATTTTACTGTAAGGAAAAGTTGACATTTCTCCCTGTTTACTTTTTCATTTATTATCCGTATGGACTCATGGGTATTAATTTTATTCCATTATCGTCATTATTAATTTGCTGTTTAAGTTGTCTCATCCTCTTTAGCAATCTCAGCCCATCTGTTTCCTGTTGAGCTGAATTTGCAGCCGAAGCTCATTGAACACCTACTCCCTGGTATGGGGGCAGGTCGTGGGGGGAGCTCAGAGCCTTTGCAAACCATGTTTCCCTGGAACCCATTGAGGCACCTTCCCAGCAAGGGATGGGCCTTTTCCTGTAACCGGGCAAATTTCAGTCAATGTCCCAGGGTTAGGGTTAAAGTCAGGGAGTTCCAGGGGCGGGCAGTTCCAGGAAGGGCTGGGCGTGGCCAGGTAGGCCCAGGTTACCCCACTGTTCTCCAGTCGGTCATCCCGCCCTCCACAGATCCACCCCAATCCCGACCAGCCCCAGTAACAGCACCAGCCAACTGCACACCCTGAGTTTTTCCTGACTCCCCCTTCTCTGCTCTGCTGCAGAGATAATTGCCGAGAAGCCCAAGGAGCGGTCAGCTGGGCAACACTTGGCCAAATTCTCTCATGCAAGGAAGTGCTCTCCACCCAGGGGACAGCGCCAGCTGTTTTCTACCAGCCCCAAGGGCAGCATCTGTCAGTGACACTTTCTGATAATTAGTACTGTGGTATTTGCCAAATGGTGATTATTTATTTCCATCATTCTTTCTATATTTATTAGTTGGAATTTTACTGTAAGAAAGCAGAGCCCTGGCCAGGTGACTCGGTTGGAGCATCTTCCCATGCACCAAAAGGTTGTGGGTTTGATTCCCATCAGGGCACACACCTAGGCTGTGGGCTCCACCCCCAGCTGGGGCGTGTGCGGGCGGCAACCGATGGATGTTTTTTCTCACAGCGATGTTTCTCTCTCCATCTTCCCCTTCCTCTCTCTCTAAAATCGATAAATAGCCTCAGCAAGGATCTTAAAGGAGCAGTGTACAGCAGCAAGCAAAACTAGGCGAGGAGGAGGGGGACTTAGGGGGGAAGCCACTGAACTTACCTTCTTTGCTCTCTTTAAGATGCTCAAGGGCAATAGTAAACTGTGTTCACCTCTGCCCACGACCACATCAAAATTACAACTAAGTGATAGAATAACCACCCTTGAGAATCCCCTGAAGATTAGCTGAACAGAAAATTCTTACAATTAAGCATATAAAGAAGGCACGTAGAGACTAGTAGGAGGGGGCGAGATGAGACGGACTGGTTCCATACCCAGGTGTGGCAGTTAAGAATCAAGCAGGATATCTCGGCCCTGCCAGTGTGGCTCAACAGTTGAGCATCGACCTCTGATCCAGGAGATTGGGGTTCGATTCCCGGTCAGGGCACATGCCTGGGTTGCAGGCTTGATCCCCAGTTGGGGGCGTGCAGGAGGCAGCTGATCCAGGACTCTCATCATTGATGTTTCTATCTCTCTCTTTCCCTTTCCCTTCCTCTCTCCAAAATCAATAAAAACATATTTTTTTTAAAAAGAGGTCTATCTCAGCTGCAGAGTTTCCCCTGATTAGCAAGGGGTCCCCGCCTCACACCAGGCTCCCCAGCCTGGACAACCAGTTCCGGGAAGAGGAGTCCCCACAATATCTGGCTGTAAAAGCCAGCAAGGATTCTGTCCAGGTGAGACGGAAGGCTGCCAGAGTCCCAGGCATCCTCTTAAAGGGCCTGCCCGTGGATTTACTTGCTGAGGAACTTGCTCTCTCTGAGCTCCAGCACTGAGCAGCAACTCGAAAAGCACCAAGGACACACAGGGAGGAACTGAACTGTCTGGCTTCAAGACGAGGACTGGAAGGGCCGGCGCCCTCTGTCATTTTGTACCTTTGTTGAGCCCTCCCCCCACAGAATCTCTGGCGTATGCAGATGCCAAATCTGAGTCTCCATCAGACTCACCCAATCTTGGTGATTCCCTGAGAACCCGCCCCACCCAACTCATGCACAGGTCCTAACCTCTTTCCAGCCTCGGCCCACACTGTGGTCTTTCCTAAAATCCCTGAAAGGTTCACAAACCTCTCAGCATGCCCTGTGCATCTTGCTTAGCAGTCCCCAATCCACCACTTGTGGCAGCTGGCCTCAGTTCACAGCAGAGTCTCTCCCAGGCACCTCCAAGCCCAGCACAGCAGCTACCAATTGCAGATCACTTTATAGGTCCTACGGGGCAGCTCTGGACCTGGTATAGGCAGTGGCTGCCCTGGGCCTGCACCAGAGACCCTCCCGAAAGGCCCAGAACCAACACACCTGGTGACTGGCTTCAGGCCACACCAGAACACCACCCAATTAGCTCTACAAACAACATACCCAAAGCGTGAACTCAGCAGGCACCAGAGCCCTGCTATAGTGAATCCCACTCCATGGGGTCAATTCCACCTAC